GACAACGGCCCAGTCAGTTTTTTTGCCACTGCTCCCTACTGAATTTGCAACCACTGTTTCAGCTCGACAAACTAGCACCAGCGAGGCTTACCCCCAAGAAAAATCAAGGGAGAAAATCTTGGGATAAGTCAAGAGTCAAGGTCTATTTGACTCCAGTCTTTAAAGGTACACCAAGGTACTACAGTACCTGTTCCTAAAAGACCTGAATATCCCATTCTTGGGACAACCAAGTTTGACACAATACCTTACTGTGAGCCATGTAAAATTGTCATCTGGCCCTGCAGGATCATGCACTTGTCTTCAGAGTATGAACCAATTACCCCAGTGTTGGATGGTCTTGGGTCGTTTGGGCATACCCGTATTTATATATATATACATACATCTTTGATACAGGTCCATCATTATAGGCAAACATGATTAATGATGATTAAAGAACGGCACGGGCTATGACATTCACCGCTTGAAAATGCTATTCAACTGCCGCATTGATTGATTGCTGCATTCACTGGTTTCCAAAGACCCAAAATGACAATCATGTCACAGAGTGAATCGGATCAGTCACCCTAAGTGCTTGAATATTTCCAAAACCACAGGCTGGTTGGTGGTATACCTACCCCTCTGAAAAATATGAAAGTCAGTTGGGATCATTATTCCCAATATAATTCAATATAATATGGAAACATAAAAGCCATGTTCCAGTAACCACCAACCAGACAGGCTGTTTTTCTATCCCATCCCATTGCACAGAATTCGTTTGTTGTACCCCACGTTTGTTCACCTCGATACCCTCTGGTTATTTAACATAGCCATGGAAAATGGCCCATAGAAATAGATAGTTTACCTATAAATAATGGTGATTTTCCATGGCAAACTGTTAGTCATAACCAGAGGGTATAATGAAATTCATCGGGACATGACAGCTTAGCATCAGAAAATTCATGGTGAGTGACCAGTTGAGTCCGGATTCACCTGGATTATCATCATCCCATTGGGTTTCCTTTGGACTGCGGCTCACAAGAATTCCAATTCGATCTGGGTGAAGTATGATCATCCTAACATGATGATTCACATCATAATACTGGTTGGTGGTTGACCTACCCCTCTGAAAAATATGAAAGTCAATGGGAAGGATGACATCTCATGTATTGTGGAAAATAAAACATGTTCCAGTCACCACCAACCAGTAATAATATGCCATATGGATATGATCACTTTCTTGGTATTTCATGGCCTTCAGGATACTTTCCTCTACCAAAACTGCTGCGCCGAGCCTGCACTTTGTGCTGCAACTTGCTGCCGTTCACCACCTGGAGCATTGGGGAGGATCATCCCAGTGATGTTAGATATGGAGGTTTTCTGAGTCATGGGGGAACCCCCAGTTCTCATCCATTTATAGATGGATATTCCATTAAAAAACATCCATTTTAGTGGGACTTTCCACTATAAGTCCTCCATTTGAGGTACCTCTATTTTAGGAAACCCCCTAATATGATTGAAAATAAAACATGATTGAAATCACCGAGCAGAGTAAGTTGGAGGTCAGGACGTTGCTTACGGTAACTGGCGAGCCAGGGATATATATATATATAATATATGTATATATATATACGTATATAAGCCAGTTACTAGTTACCCTCTGGTAAACTAAGATAACCATGGAAAACCACCACTTGAATAGGTAAATCAACTAATTATACTCGACTATAAATGGGCCATTTACAATAGCTATGTTCGTTTATTGGAGAGTACTAACCATTTAACTCACCATGGCCGATTTATCCCTGTCCCGCAACACAGCTTGCGTAGGCACCGCTTGCGTAGGAGACCAGAGTTTCGTCAGCACTTGGACCAAAGACGCACTGGTCCTCGGTGCTTATATATATATATATATGGTGAATGTATGTTTTACTGCATTTATATTATATCGTCTAATACATGTATTTCATGTATTTAATAATAGTATCTATAATCATCCTGGAGATAGAATCATAGGGACTGGACTAAAGCGGGCTCCACCATCCCCATATGGCTGGTGTAGATGATCCTCCTGGAGTGGGCTGCCATCCGTGCCGGATCCAATAGGAATAGGAGAATTGCCACGAGCAAGTCAAGGAATCTCAGTTTTGCCATTTTAGTGTTGAAAAAACACATTGGGCAGTATTGGGCAACAGCAGCTTCTTTTTCCCATCTGTCCACCGGTTTTGGGGGAGTTGAATGTGAGACTTTCATATTTATATGCCCGTCTTTGTGATAGTTGATTGAAAATTCATGAACATTCCATATGCATCAATATTCTATCTACTTCAGGATAATCAAATAGATGATTGTATTCCAGTATATGCTCTTAGAATCATTAATATGTACATAATATCTTATAATCATCATGATGATTTAATCCAGTAATTATGTACATAGTTATAAACATAATCCAGTATGATTATAAAATCACACAGTAATATCATCCAGTAATATAACCATGAGTATTATCTCCTACCTAAGAAGTACACCGATGACCTGACCATGTTGGACGTTACTATGGAAATAGATAGATATAGTTCAATAAACAATAACATCAGGAATCCTGATCAAAAATCGTACATATAGATCTAATATATATATATATAAATATGATAATATATTGTATGTTTTTTTTGAAATGTTTTGGAGGCTACTATAGATTTAGGTTGTTTAATCACATTTAAGAGTTGATCTCATGTCAGGATTGTTTATGCTTGAGACTGTGACAGTGGTACTATCTATCTATCTATCCATCCATCCATCCATCTATCTATTCATGTATGTATATATATATATATTAATATATATTTATATATATATATATACCTATATGGTAATTGACGATCTATCCTGGTGACTGGTGACATATTATACACATGACCAGGGTCCCGCAGTTTCGGAGCTTCGACAACAACATGATTCAATCCACTTGTTCCCCAAAATGGATGGCTCGGTTTAGTACTGCGTTGTCTTAAATGGAGGGGCCCCAAAATAATGGAAACGTGGTTAAAACATGAGACCACTGGTTTTGGGTCCCCCTTGTTGAGAAAAAAACGTATGACTGTATAATGACTATATACATCTATATACCAATGACATCTAATGACATCGAATGACATCTAATGACATCTAATGACATCTAATGACATCTACTGACTTGTGGTTTGATTGATGCCCCAAAGAAGTGACCATCAGAAATTTCAAGGTCCGCCCAGTTGTGCTGTCTCGACACGCATGGGTCCCTTCCTCAGGAATCACCTGGCGCTCAAACTTTGAGATTCCCCTCGGGGCTTGATTCACACCGAAACTTCACATTGGAAAATGGAGAGATTTACAAACAAACATCGGGGGATGGAACTTGATGAAACCACTCAAAATTGGGAATTCATCACCACATATGATAAAATACATGGTTCCATGGGATTGATTTAAGGGAAAACCTATAGAAAACCCTGCAGGTAAAAAAAAACAAAAAAACACACATATAGGGGTGCCTGAAAATCTTGACCAATAATGGCAAGATTGGGCACCAAATTTGTGTGGGGTCTGGACATGTCTTGACATCTTCCAGATCTGGACACAGGATATGGCCGTGAAAAATGGTATATCATATCATATTACATGATGTAATCATATATATATGATAATACATATATATATATGATAATACATATATATATATGATAATATGTATATATATATGTAATATATAATATAAACAACTTAAATAAATTGTAGGGAACCCCAAAGGACTTTTGTGTAGCCAGTTCATTTTTGACAACACAAAAGCAATGAGATTGAAATCCAGGAATCCATGTCTGTAATGGATGGCTTTGGTTGGGTATTTTGAACCGTGGCAAGTCCATAGTTCCACATCTTCCACTGCGAAAGCGCAGCCAAAACAAAGACTGACGCATGGAAGCAACTTTGCTCCATATTGGATTTCTGCTATCCATTGCCCAAAGATAACTTATGGACAAATCAAGGGAAACTCATGATAGAATGGAATAATGATGGGCAACATGGAGGTTGAATGGAAGGTTAAACAATGTTAAGCATATAGTTTGTTTTGACTTGATTATATCTGCGTTGAAGTTGGTGAGTGGTGATCCCTTTCCAAGGTTTTCCAACCAGCAGTGGCTCCTACCGCCCGGGGCCCAGTTCCCACGTCATTGTTACGCATTGTTTTAAACGTCTGAGCAACGTCGGCATTGGCCACGAAATGACGTGGCCCTTTTCACTGCTCTGTGTTGAAAATAGAGGTCCAGTATGGTCCAGTCAGTCTTTGACTGACGTTACCCACAACCCGCACCGTCCCGACATCCTGGCTGCAGTCAAAGAAATCCCATAGAAATAGCATCGCTTGTGGATCAGATGAAAAAAGCTTCCCTCCTGGTAAAAGACTCGTGAAGACTTGTGAAGTGGGTAAGGGTCAAAATTGCGCAATGCCCCAAATTGTTTTGTTCTTAGTGCTAAGTATGATCAAATCTGTCGTTTTGAGAATGCTGGAATGTGCCAGAATATTGTACAGTGTTCTTGCTGTTGAATATGACCCACAGCACCGCATGAACTATATGCCCCCGCTGCGCATCTGGGTGAAATCAAGTGTCCATGAATGCTTCAACTTGCTATTCTGGTTGCTGGTTGACCTACCCCTCTGAAAAATATTAGGGGACATATTAGTCAGTTGGGATGATGACATTCTGCGGGAGCAGGGAGGTTCACCAATCCAACCACCAATCCAGCCTATCCCCCAAGGGATGTTGTTGTTAAAGTCAAGGAAGTAGTATGGATGTTGGGTCGCCAAACAGTATGGCAGCTTAAAGGAATGAGTGACTCCCTAAGTCACCAGGTGAACACGTGGGCCCGTTTTCACTGCCGTGGCTCAAGCGCTGCGGTCGTGCAGCAACGTCTCAAACATGAAACACAACCTATGAGGCAACCTGTCATGTCTTTCGCACCAGCCAAATTCTTTTCTTGGCTCAAAAGGTTGTGACATGGGAAAAAGGTTGCAAACACTGGAGATCTCTCATTTGCTGAAGTGCTCCACGTCCTTGTTGTTTCGCCTTCTTCTCGCTGGTGACAAACTTCGGGTCATAGTGAAGTCGCCAGACAAAGTTGCGAAGAAACTGCAACAAGCTCTGTCGGGCCACCTGAGGCTTCTTCGTCAAAGCATCGCTCAGGTTCCAATCACCAGCAAGCCAAATGAGTTTTGCTCCACCATGGTCAAGTTGTTCACGAAGTTGATAGGCCTGCAGAGCACTGCGGGCATTCGTGAGACCAAGCATCGGTCCCTCAGAGCGAGTGACAGCATCAAAGCCACCCTTGCTATCTGTTCCAACGATGCCATAGATGGTCTTGACCATGTTGTTGGCGCTGTTGAGGACATCATCACCAATGGGTGCACCATTGAGTTGGCACCACATAAATCTTGTTCTAAAGTTCGCGTCCTCACCCTCCAACATAGACTGAACTTCACCATCATTTGTGCTGATGGCTTTGCGCTTCAGCTTCCAAGTTCTCCATCCAACAATGGATAGACGTCCAGCTGCTCCTTCACGGTGTGCAGGACCACCCAAAAGTGTCAGCAAACCGCCTGTAGAATCACCGCTAGGTCGATTGGCATGAGCTTGATCAGCAAGCGTGACGATTGTAACATCTTGCCAATGTTCAAGTTCAGGATGATTCCAAAACTTCAAGCTAACTGGATTGGAACGAACTTCTCTAATGAGTTCTTGGATCTCCTTGGCCGTGTTCATGTCATGGTTGCTTGTGATCTGCGAAAGAAGCAAATTGGCTCGCGCACAGGCTTGAACTTGTGTTTGAGTTGCAGCCCATTGGACTGCTCCAAGTCCGGCTCGGCAAGCACTCACTTCATCAGGAGTGAGCTGTGGGTTGTCGGTGCGGTTCAAACGCTCCGGGGCAATGGTCAGGTCCATGAGGCCTTCCACATAGTAGTTCTGATCCACCTCGACCAGAAAGTCATTACCCTCGGTCTTGACGTTGATATCCAAACCAGTGTGTCTGTACTGGTTGATTTTCACCGTTCCCCACTTGTAGCTCTTGTCAATGGCCTCTCTGATGCGAAGCCACTCAGGATCTTGTAGATCTCCGGCTCTGTTGAAATCGTCAACATGTCCGCCGACAAAACCAATCAGCTGCTCAGTGTCAAACTGATTTCGAGGATTTGGGTTTGGCTTTGTCCAAATCCAAAAGGAACTGTCGCCGATCAGGCGTTTCGCTCCCAAGGCACAAAAGGTTTTGTCCACATCTTCCCATAAACCTCGAGGTGCTGTGGCGTTGCCATAGACGTTCTTGAGGATTCGAACCGCTTCATGAGGTTCTGCTCCAAGGGCACGATTGAGTTCTGGCACCCCTTGCATCCAAATTCTGCGATCCTCCTCCGTCTTGCCAGTCTGCAAAAATGCAGTGGACATATCAAGTCCTTCCAACTGCCAACGGCGTTGAGCCACCACACACAAGGAGAGGTTGCGGAACAACTGCGATTGCACTGGTGCAGTTGTTGCTAGAGACGGGTCCAACAAGTCAGGGTGTTGATAGCCCAAAACGACTATCCTCGCCTTTGCTTTGCGAGTGCCATCAGAGCTGTGGACTGTGTTCTCATTTTCCCTGGCGTCAGCAAGTGCTTCAGCACGCGATTCCTCAGGCACTGATTTCCAAACCAATACCCATCTTGATTTCAAAACACGTCCACTTCGCTTCGCCTCTTGTTGCTCCTCAAAGCTCAAACAGCGGCGAACTGCCTCTGTCTTGATGAAGCTTGAAACTTCGGAGTTCATTGCTCGCTTGAACAACTCCTTCTCATTGGCACTCAAACGACGAAAACACACCTCTGAACCAGCCAGTTTCTTCGCCAGGTAGAGGCTCGGGTTTCTCTGAAAAGCCTTCTTTTGGCGATTTGAAGCAAGGTCCAGCTCGATGTCCATCAAATAGCCACTGTCGATCTGGTTGAAGATCTGCAGGTGCTTCATGTACATGTCTTCCTTGTCGTCCTCGTCCTCATAGCGGGCACGCTTGGACTCAGGCTCAGGAACTGGATCAGGAAGACCATCTTCAGGAGAGTCCAAATAGGGCTCTTTGTTTTCCACCATCGGCGTTGAAGATGTTGTAGAAAATCTGCGATCTTCACGAAGAGGACCATGAGGCATGTTGCCAAAGTCGTCATCTTCCAGTTCGATAGGTTCAGGATCCTTTGCAGGTGTTGTAGGTGCATAAGATGGTGATCGTTCTGCTTGTTCATCACCATAGTCATTCACCATCTCAGGCTGCTCATAGACATCGCTGGGCTTCTTCTTCCCAGAGATTCGCATCGGAGGCATAGGTCCAGTAGGGCCAACCTTGGAAAAGTCAGGCACATAGTAAGGAACACCAGGAAACCGTGAAGAGGATCTTGATGAAGAAGTTCCAGCTGTTCGCATATCAGGCGGATGTTCAGGAAGGTCAAACTCCTCGGTCTCACCATCCGCAGGCTGCTCGTGCTCGATGTCGACGTACTCCCTCTTGGGAATGATGTCGGAGAGCTGCTTCCACTTGTTGGGATCGATGGCATTTGTTGCTTCTTCATGGGCTTGTTCTCGATCCGACAAGGGTCGCACAGAGAAGACAGAACATCGATAGAGCGTCTTGCCAATGACCACCCAAACGATTGGAATTGGATCTCCTTCTACTTGTCCAGGAATGAGTTCATGTAGAACCACTCTGCCAGGTCCAATCCATCTCGGTTTCACAGTGCGCTTGACTCCTCCACGAGGTCCTTTGTGGAACTTCGGAGGCAAAAACTTCCTCCAAACCATCACAGGCTGTGCAAGGTCGAAGTTGCGACGAGGCTGCTTCACAGTGGTGTTCTTGATCCTTGAAAGCACATGATCTGCTCTCGCTTTTCTCGCATGCTCTTCAGCAGACTGTCGGTTTGTCAGGAGTCGGGCAAATTGATCTTGTTGACGGTCAATTGGAAGTTGAAGATGCTGACGTAGCTCATCATCAGTCAGCTCAGCTTGTCGACCAAAGGCCCATTGGATACTGCTGTATCCCTTGTTGTACTCCGTAGAGTTCACAGCTGCTGTTGCAAGTGCAAGGCTGATCTCAGGATCTTGGTCAGGAGAGGAAGCATGAATCCTCGAAGCAGTCTCTTTCACCAGTTGATGACCACGTTCAACAAGTCCATGAGCCCAGGATTCATGATCCGGTGGGTAGATCACTTCAATGCAAAGGTCTGACATGTAATCCACAAACTTCTTCGCTGTGAGGCTCTTGGCATTGTCTGGAACCAAGATTCGAGGTCTGGGCTTGTCAGAAAGCCACCTCAACGAAACACTGCGGATCATCTCCTCAGCGGACTCATTCTTGATAGTGCCATGCTTGTTCTTGAAGAGGACGTCGGTCACCTTGTACTTGGTGCATAGATCCATCATGATGACAAACTTCACCTTGATGTTTTCACCAGGAACTTCCCACTCAGAGACATCGATGCCAACTTGTTCCCAAGGTCCAGGAAGATTGCGCATGCTCGCTGGGTTGATTTGCTTGGAGCTAATGCCACCGCCCTTTTGTTCTTGGCAGTAGGGGCAAACATGCTCCAAGGCCATCTTGATCTTCCATCGTGGGAGTTGTGCATCAGCCATCATCCGCGCCATGTTGCGCGCTGTGGGATGTCCAGCTTGTCTGTGAAAGCGATCCAATTTCGCCTTCCATGCTCGTTGATCTTGTTCAGAAGGTTGAACTTCAGCAGGAACCACCGCATCGTCAGGCACGTTCGCATCGTCCTCCATGAAGAGGTCGCCATCAGGAAGTCCAGAACATAGATGAGCTTGATGATCATCACCATCACAGAGCTCCTTGAAGGGGTCCATCACCACAGGTGCTGTTGAAAGCATCTTGATCCATCTGTCAGGGATCAGAGTGCGACGCCAAAGCTGTGCAATACTTCGGCAAAGTGCCGTTGGGTAGTAAGCACTGCGCGTCGTTTCAAGTCCGTGTATTTGAGCATGTTCATGGTTTTGAAGACACACCTTCAAGCGAAACATTGTGTAGAAGACCACATCAGTCGTCAAGATCTGCCAGGACTTCTTGATGATGTTGCCATGAGAGTCTTTCATGCCATAGCGGCATCCATCGATTTGGCACAGGTAGAGATTCCTGCCACACTTCTTGAAGAGTCGAGTCTTGAACTCTTCCACATGAGGCTCTTTCCAGGCTCTGCAGCGTCGCGGCCATTCCCAGTAGAGATCGGCAGTCTCATCTTCCAGCAAAGCTTCTTCTGCAAAGTCCATCACCTTGAGGTGCATTGACTTCTCCTTGCGACGTCGTTCAAAAAGAACTTCACGTCGGTTGTGGTAGTTGAGGTCTGTCCAGTCACAATAGAAGGTGCAAGGAGTGCTGATCCAAAACTTCTTGGGCTTGTGGCGACGTCGAAGTTGACGTAGGCCATCATAGGTGTTCTTACGGTAGAGGTCGAAGCCACCCGCCAGGTTGATGCGGTAGGCGCACAAGCCAGCTTTGAGAGCTTGGTTGGTCAGCTCACTGTCAGGACTGCAGAACATTTCCCAAAGCATTGGAGGTTTCTGGTAGACTACCTGGGCAATCTCAGAGTGAAGTTGGTCACAAAGAGCAGCAGCCATCATCATCACGCCTTTGCCCACACGCAGAGGCATCTTGAAAGTTGCATCTTTCACTGCTGTTGCTCCCCATACGCAGGCTCCAGCTCCGTGCCCGAGCTGATGTTCACATTGATCACCGGCTGAACTGCCCGTTCTGCCGCAAGCTGCATGAGGCGCTCCTTCTCCTCCGCTGTCAGGTGCTCGAAGGCCATGTTGAGGTCCATCCTGCTGGGAGAGACCTGTTGCCATCCGCTTGACGCAGGAGAAGGGCCAGGCTCTGGTGTTGGTGTGCGAGGTCTTTGGATCGGAGAAGCATACCCTTTTGCCTTTGCGGCCGTCGCGGCCGATTTGGCCTTGTTGATCTTCTCCACATTCTTCTGCATGGTCTTCTCGAAGTCCATCAGCATGGTCTTGATGCGCTCCTCGGCCACCACCTTCTCGATCATAGCGCGCACCAACTCTTCCGTAGGCATTGCTTGAGGAGGTAGAAGACCTTGTAGTTCGTCCAAAGCTCGCTTCACATTGGTGCCGTTCATCGTCACCATGGAGTTGGCTGGGCTGCCAACTCGAGGCTTGTACCATAGACGGTACCCGCACTGGAGGCAATTGACCCAGATGCCGTACCTGTTGCTCATCTCCTTGCTTGGGGCATGCGTTCCCTTGCAAGGCCACTGGCTTCGTTGATGCCGTGGGTCTCGAGGATCTCCCTCCATCCGACGTGATTCGTCCGGAGGTTGCATGTCGCTCTTGTCCTTGTCCTTCGGCATGGCTACTTGAAGAGGAAGTTGTCGGGGTTGAAGCGAGGGCAAACGGTTACCCATGAGCCGAACACTGCTGTTGAAGGACAACTTCATCCGTCGATTCACCATGTACTCGAAGGCTTGACTGAATTTGCCATCAACGCTTGCATTCTCAGAGACAAAAACGTCAGAAAACTGAACTGGGAAAAACTCAATGGAGTGGTCGTTGATGACTTCTGGTTTTTCATCAGGTTCTTCCAACATGACATGTACTGCAGCATGACCTTTGGAGTTTCGGAGACCATCAGTGAGGTATTCGACAACATCCAACATGTAGTGACCCTTTTGGTTTTGAGGAAGGTTGAGAACTACACCATTCATCAAAGGAAGAAAACAATGACCATCGTTGAAGTCCAAAACTGCTCCAGCTTCTTTCAACCAGTCCATACCTACTAAAACAGGAACCAGCATGTCCATGGTAAACCAATCTTCATGACGTTCTTCGGGATCAGGTAGTGCAAAACATGAAAAACTGCGTGTACTCCCCGTAATAGATGAAGAAACGGTCAACTTGTAGAGGGCTTGTCCCCATTTGCCAGAACCAAAACGAAAACGAGGTTGATCCTTTGTCTCCACGCGGATCTGTGCTGCTGCATCGGCTTCCATGATCTTTGTCACCAGCCGCTGAACACTGGTTTCAGGTCCAGCCGAGCATGTAGCTCCGGAGTCGATCATGCCACTGCCAGGTGGGATCTCACGAGGGATCTGTGTCTTCCTCGGAGTGGCCACCTTCTTTGTTGCCAGCATGGCGTGTTCCACAGGGCCGTTGTGCTGGGTCTGAAGCTCCATCTCCAAACCATAGTGGTTCAGCGCATAGGCATTCACAGGTGCCTTTCCTTTTCCTTTCCCTTTCCAGGGGTCAAAGGACTTGCCCTTGTAGGACTTTCCTTTCGATTTGCTCTTGCCCTTCTGCATGGCATAGATCCAGTCATGCCATTCATCCTCCATATAGTGCAAACCTTTCTTGCCCTTGCCCTTGGACTTGGAAACTCCATGAGGAGAAAGTCGGTCAGGACATTCTCGAGCAAGATGTTGTGTGCTGCCGCAAATGAAGCAAGCTGCTCGGCCAAAACCACGATCTTTCTTCATGGCTGCCGTTGCACGTTGTGCTTGACTCCAACTGCGACCATCAGCCAAGAGTTGCTCCATCTTTTGAGCTTCTGCTGCAGAGGCTTCTGAGGCATTGGGATCACCTTCTTGAGCTGCATTGGCATCAGCTTCATCTTCTCCATCTTCAGGCCACCAGCTGTCGTAAGACCATGGGTCTTCGCTCCAAGTCAAAGCCGCATTCCAGGACGACCATCCATCATCGCCCCACTCATCCCAGGAAGAGCTTGAAGACATAGAGGACCAATCATCATCGTAGTGCTCGTCCGCGATGTAGGCTTGAAGATGTTGTCCATGATATAGAGGCTGTTGAGGATGTCCAGGTTGAAGTCGAGTGCCACCAGTCATCTGCTCGTCATAGAGTACCTGGAGAGCATCGCTAATGGAGACATAGTCCAGCTTTCCCTGCGTAGTGCCCAAAACATCTCGCCACTCATCAGTGGAGAGGCTTGCAGAGGTCAAGAGACGCCATCCTCGTAGTTGCTCCAAGATGAAGCTGTCGGACACCGACAAAACCAGGTCATCATCTTCGGCAGGAGGTTGGCCAGGATCATCCGTTGGAATCCGGGCATAGCGTCTTCGACGTTCTGAAGCATCAGGGCTTGCATTCGCAGTTGGGGCCTCAGAGTCAGGGCCCTCGCTGGCTGACTCCTCATCAACCGTTGGCAATCCAAAACCATCACGTTCAGGATCAACACCATTCTTCTCCTCCTTGAGGCGAATCAAGCACTCGCGGAACTCCTCATAGTGCAAGGCTTCCCGAATGAGGAAGTTGGCAATGGCTTCACCACGGTAGCGCTTGAAGGAGAAGTACTGGGCCATGATTGAAGCAGCATTGGGCAAGCTCTTTCGAACCAAAGGGCTCTTTGAAAGCTTCGACAGGAGAACTCGCACCCCATCAGGACCATTGAACTCCTGAAGTTGCCATGTCATAGCCAAAAGCCGTGCAGGACCGCTCAGCTTTGTGATCAACCTGCTAGCCAAGTAAGGCCGAAGGCTGGGCTTGGTGCCAAGCATGTACCATTGCACCTCTTTCACATAGCGGCGCCATCCTTTCGCTTGTCCATCCCAGGCAGGGACATGTTCCATTCCACCTTGCTTTTCAGCTGAGGCAGACATCGCTTCCAAAACTGGGCAACAAAGATCTCTTCAGAGAAGTTGCAAAAGAAGAATTGTAGAACCTTGAAATAGTTCCGGATGAACACAAACTGTCCAACGTTCAAATAGAAATGCAAAAGGTACCCCAGATGTCAAAATCCAGGATGTAGTGGTCGGCAATGTGAAGCCTCCCAAAGGAAAACTGCAAAACAAGGCTTGGGCTCAGCGGGGCCTCGAACCAGCCGAGGTTGATGGCGGGTCCAATTCCACAGGCAACTCACCCAAAGGTCGGCCTTCAGCACCAAGCAACTGAATCTCTCTTCGTCTGAGCTCTTGTCGGCCGTGCAGGTAGCCAATCTCCAAGAAGCAATGACCAACTTGAGGAGCAAGGGTGATTACCGCCTGGAGCTTCTCGTTGAAGCTTCGCCGAGCGTCCAAGTCCTCTCGAACCTCGGGCTCAGGCTCTGGCTCGAAGAAGGTCGGGCAGGGCCTCTCAGGTCTCAAATCGATCAACACCGAAGGAAAACCTGGAGGGCTGAAAGCCTGTCTCAGATCTCTTGCAGGAGACCTAGACCTGGAGCGTTCCCTGAAAGCCCGTCGAGCAGCAGCAGGTGCTCGCTCACCTCCTCTGGATCGAACCGATCCCCCAGATGTTGGCCTTGTCCCAGAAGTAGGTGTAGAACCAACCGCAGGTGTCCTTGAAGATCTCGCAGAGCTCGGGTAGGTGTTGCTGATGCTGAAAGTCCTCCTCTCAGCCGTTGTGTCGCCCCTGGATCCCCTCACCTGCTCCGCTACCAATGCGGGAGCAGGGAGGTTCACCAATCCAACCAATCCAGCCTATCCCCCAAGGGATGTTGTTGTTAAAGTCAAGGAAGTAGTATGGATGTTGGGTCGCCAAACAGTATGGCAGCTTAAAGGAATGAGTGACTTCCTAAGTCACCAGGTGAACACGTGGGCCCGTTTTCACTGCCGTGGCTCAAGCGCTGCGGTCGTGCAGCAACGTCTCAAACATGAAACACAACCTATGAGGCAACATGTCATGTCTTTCGCACATTCCCAATATATGGAAAAATAAAACATGTTCCAAACCACCAACCAGTATTGTTCAATTACCTGGACAGCTTTGCCTGACTAGAGAGAGAAACACGAGCACACGCACAATCGCCATCACCACCACCAACACCCATCACCACCACCACGACGATCACCACGATCATCGCGCCCCCTCAAGAACATGTAACAAGAATCTGTTCCAGTATGCAAAGCAAAACTTTATTTTGCGTGTTCAGCCGATACTCACAAGTTGCAACACGCAACTGTTTTCTTTGATGTTTGCAACTTGGAACGCTGGTACAAAGACCAAACAAACAAATAGGATATAGGGGCAAGGGCCACAACAAACAAAAAAGCAATGACTATGAGTGGATGAAGCAAAACCAAGAGAACAGCTGAAAGAATAGAAGAAACACGAACCAGCCGTGCACAGGAACCAAAAATGCTGTGGGAATGGAAAGCAACTAAGCCAACAGCAAATCAGCCAGGAACCTCAAATCCACTCTGAGAAAAGACAATGCCTTCCCGGAAAGCAAGCACCAATCTGGGACTGGAGTTACACCCAATTGGCTTGTTCAACTCTTGACACGACTATAAGATTTTTAAGATCCTCCAACTTTTCCAGGACTCCAGGACGCAATCGGAGCCACAAAAAATACCGGCGCGGAGAAACTTCACGCGCAAAATAAACGGAACTTCAGAGGCCTGACGACAACGTTTCTGAGCACCACACCGTTGATTTCGGCGCAACTTTCACTGGTCAAATGGTCAAATGGTCAAATGGTCAAATCACAACTGGTGGATCTGAGAACCACAACCCTCAAATGGCCCGTGAAAAAGCCTGCGATCTGCACCAGATTTGACCAGTGCCGACGCTTCAGAAAAACGATTTACGTCTTGCCGTGCTGTCTCCTGAAAAACGTCACCCTTGGGATTCCTCTCAGTGACGGAACCAGGTGGCGGGAATCCATGGTCTAAGGCAAACATGGAAAATTCAACCAGTGCTTGTCTACATGGATTCAATCAGTGATTTGCTGGGAAAATCTACAGAAAACGATGGTTTATCCTAGTATATACGAGTAGATCATGATACATATGATAAGGGTTTGCTGCGGATCTTTCCTCAATTCTGGGATGTGATCCATGAAAGAGTCCAAGGTACTTGTTCCCTTTATCCATAGTTTTTAGCTGACGCAAAGCCGTTGATACAGCGTTGGTTTTTGATGTTATATTGGACTGCATGCTTCATCTAAGGTGCATCATCATCATCACCATCACCATCACCATCATCATCATCATCATCAAAGTTTGCAAAACACCTCCAGATGTTGGATCCCCATGTCATAGGGCCAGCAACATCCTGTACCCTCTGGTCACTGAACATTTTTTTTTAGTGGAAACTAATCTGAACCAACCTCTATCTGCCAGGGATTTGCCAGGAAATATTCATTTACCGGATAAATTTGAGATCTGTTGAGAAGAATCCTTCCAAACGCAGCTGAGCCGCTCCGGTCTACCTGCACACCTGGCAGTCAACGAATTCGATGCCGCCCTTGGGCACTGCTGTCAATGCTTGGGTCCGGAAGGGCCCTAACCAAGCACTGACCAAGCACCGTGCAGCTCTCAAAAATAGGATGCCACTGTGAGAGAAGCACGGCCGAAATCCGCTGGACAAGAAGAGTTTCGAGCCACCCGGCCGAAATCCGCAACATGTGCCCCTGAAGGATAGGTGATTTAAGATTTATAACATTTTATAACTATAGGCTACCAATGATTTATGAATGATGGTTATGGATGGTAATCGTAGATATATCTGTGTGTTGCAGTTGGATAGCCTGATATAGCCTGATAAATATACCTATATAAATTAGGGAGAACAATGCAAAGATATTTGAAGCTACAAACGGGTGACATCGTATTCTTGAACCAATTTTCTGTTCTTAGCTTCCCTGTGAGAATTTACCCCTTTTGCCTGTGAGACTATCAATCAACATCCCACAATCGAAGCCGAACGACTTTACGAAGGGTTGAGGTTCTCCCAGCATTAGGATTGAAAAGGAATAGTTGCGCTTCCGATCCTGTCTGAAATACCTTTCAGCATAAAAACCTTGCAATAAACATCGATCCTTTTAGAATATGATTGACCCCAGAACATGGTACTTCTCTATGGTTTTACATCATGATCAGTGGGCATTTTTAGTCCACCAACGACAAAGCTATTTTGCCAACTTCAATATAAGTCTCTGCTTGACTTGTCCATCAGTGTGGATCGCGCGTGAATCGTGGCACAAATTAACATGCAAAAGTGCGAAGTGTTCACTTGGAAGCTTCAGTGCAGAAATTTGCACCGGTTATGCTTGTTGGTTCAAAACCCCATGGATATATCTACCATACGGCGCTTTTATGCTTTTGGTACTGTCGTACGCAATTCCTAGCACAGGTGCCTGAGCCTGTTAAAATACCAGAAGCTAGCCATAGCTAGTCATCCAGTGGTTCGCAACAAGTTGAACACACAGTCCCCATGATTTTTCGGTGCCATGGGTGCCATGACATGGCCCTGGCCTTTCTTTCCCTCCCTTTATAAAGACGATCCAGTTGGTCGATGGCCAATAGTTGCTGCAGGATTTTTTTGCTGTACAGAATCACTGCTGGGATAAAACATGATGAAACCCATTCACTATTGTTTATATCCATATCTTATTAATATCTTCCAGTTACTGCTGGGGGATCCCTCAAATTGTGATCAAATTGGATCATCCCCATGTGGCTCTTCAGCCAATCATGGTCCACATGGGTCCACCACGTTACTCCACTTCGGCGCTCCAACGCTTCAGAGACTTGGGATGCGTTGCCATGTGATCTATGCTCTGCTGAACTTCAGCCTGCCAGGGAGCCGATGAACGGTGCTGTTATTAGCGCCCTTCGGAACCAAAGAGTTGATGGCGAAATGGTGATCTAACCCACAAAAATGGTGGTTCAAACCATATGAATGGTGTTTCAGGCACCACCAAATGACAAATTGGGCACATTGGTGGTTCGGACACAAAAAGAATTGGGCTTTAGCTTAGCCAACAGGAACTGTATGGGAATCAAATAGTGAAGGATTTGTCAGGTCCCCGAACTAACATGCCTATGTGTAAGATATATCTATGATATACCTATAGTATGTGGAGAAAATACATGTGTCATATTTACATATAGAACATCATAGAATTGCAATATATATATATACACACATGTGTGTAACATGTTTAATATAGTTTTTCATATCAGTAGTATACCTCTAGTATACCATCCATGCATACTATTCAAAACCGTCTCCACTGAAAAAACATGCGGACTTCTGTGACCTTCACAAAGTCTTGCATGTGTTCAAAGCTGGCGTTCATTTCTTCACGCATTTCCTCGGCCGGACTCTATGCTGCAGGGGGGCCTACCATGGAAAATGGTGGAAAATAATGGACAAGTGGGGGAAAATTCCATGGAACATGATGATACAAGAGTTTGGTAGAATCTGGTCGTTAAAATAGTTTTTTACATGACAGAACATCATGGAAAACTATGGAAGTTGTGGTGGTTGAAAAAGCGGAATTTCGTTGGACCATTAAAAATTCTACGCCCAGGCCAACGGTATCTCCATTCGAGTCCCAGTTTCGATTCACCCAACTTTTGCCGAAAAAAACTGGCTGCCAGTTGGACCAGTTAACGATCGCCGCCAAAAAATCGATTTCAAAAACTGCGAAATTATGCTAGTGTGTAACGCACGGAAAAAGACCTTTTAACTTTGGCAAAGCAAATGTAAACCATCCCCAATTTTTGCATAAATGGATGGTATAAACCATCAACTTATATGTGGCAAACATGATTGCTTTACCGACATGATAATTATTGGGGGTACCTCCAAATCATCGAAAGATACAGGATTTTCCATCCTAAATCATCTAGCTATTGGGGTACCCGCATTTTAGGAAACCTCCATATATTGACATGTATTTACCAACATATATTGACGCCAGAATATGGGTTCGTCTGAGAACAGTGAAATGCCTATAATTGAAGGTATAGGCACGCCCAGCAATCTAGAACTATCTAATAATGTTATGATCATCCCACTGTATCACAACAGAATGTAAGATTCTTCCATAGTATCATAATATGTTATCATTCATTATCATATCTTATCCCATATATATATATATTATACCATATTATAAGTCCAATATCATCATGTAATCATATATTTATCATCAGCATTCCTTTGATGATCATATATATATACATATTTATAATCATAGAATATATTACGACCAGCATTGTCATATACTGGTGGTTTCAACCCCTCTGAAACATATTAATCAGTTGGGATTATCATTCACAATGGAAAAAAAAACACGTTCCATATTATATCCAACATGTTCCATATCATTATTCCATAACAAAAAATGTTCCAAACCACCAACCAGTATATTGTCCAACTACATCCAATTTCCCGTGCAGGCACTGTGACCATGTTCTGCAAGGCTTTCGTCGAGAGCCTCAGGCTCTAACGGCGTGGCGTTTTCATACGTGGCGTTTCGCATAGGAAAACGAGCAGAAAACCATCGGAACATATGGGAAAGCCATGGAAAACCCATAGGTTTTAACCATGGCAAAATGGAAAACTCATGACATTTTGAGTGGCCGAAGTATGGGAATTTCTGAGTGCCTAACATCGGCTCAACACGTGAAGTCTCTTTTGTGGCCCCTGATTTGAAAAATATCCCATAAATTTAGATGTTGAATCTTGACCAGGTCCACTCCTACAGCATGCAAGTATCATGTATTGTACAATGTGAGGCCCCCAAGATAGCTAAGTTGGTTTATAACTTCAATAACTATGGTTTATGGTACTTATAACTATAGTTACTGGGGCTTATAAACCAACTTATAACTGGGGGGCCTCACATTGTAGTTCTAATTGATACAGCCAGCAAAATCGGGGAGAGCAAATATCGTCATCTTTTCAGTTCTGGGGGTGTAGTGGAATTTGCATGAGATGATTTCCATTGATATGTACAATGTGGTAAACCCAATAATGAACTTGCCATGTGGGGATGATATTTACAACATTTTGCAAACCATTTATGATTTTATGGTAATATTGGGGATGGTTTCATACGGTTGATTATATATTGGGTTTACCACATGACATTTTTGTGATCCAACGTGTTTAGCATGATTTGAATGCGCTCAGCACCTTTTAGGGATATTAGCCACTATGTACCCACCAATTTAAACAATGTCCTTGGAAAATATGGAATCTGGCCTTGTCCCAACAAGTTTGGTACACCTCATCCACAAAACAATGCTTGATGCCCAATCCAATATATTATAATGATATCTATTATTATTTATCTATCTGTCTATCTTATCATATCTTGTCTTGTCTTATCTTGTCCTATCCTATTAATCTATATCTAAGATAAGTAGTCGGTGTCTTATGATCATTACCTTTATCTTATCCTATCATGTCTTATCCTACCTATATGGCAGTGTGTCAAAACCTTGTACCCCTGGTGAACATCAAAATAGCTGGTAAATGAATGTTCATCCCACTAATAAACTGTATCTATAGGTATTGATCCATAGCCATATCTATGTATGCTATATTTGTTCATGGTGCAGTAGTTCGGGAGCACTTTTATCCCAGGGGCAATGTGGCCACCGCATCACTTTTCTTCACTTCTCCACGAATTTGCAGCAGGCCCTGAAAACGAGCCAATCCGCGTTAGGAAGGGATGGCAACATACTAACCCTCTGGTTAAACTATGGTAAACTATGGTAAACTAACAAAAACTATGGTAAAACTATGGGAAATATGGGAACATCACCATGTGTTTTTCATGATTTTAATGGGAAAATCAACTATTTCTATGGCCATGTTCAATCGCCATGTTAAATTACCAGAGGGAAACAACAGACGGGATGTAACAAAGATACAAAGCAGGGGAAATCAAAAAGTATTCAAAGTTAATAAACAAGAGTGGGCATGGCCATTCAATATGAAGAATTTGGAGCATCTAACAAGGGGCTGTCATGATTTTCTAGGCCTTGAAATAATTCCCTGTCGTGGGAAAAGGCAACTTTTAGACATCGAGGCTGGCTGGTGGCTGCATATTTCCTCAACAACGTTCAAACTTGGGCTTTCGAACGCACTGTTCAACCTTGGGGTTGAAGAAGAACACATTGCCTAAAATGGAATAAAAATGGAGAGGTCTCGTAGCAACGTTGAAGAGCAAAGGGACCAACTCCTACTTAAAAGCACATCAGCGGGCCAAATAATCACATATTGTCCCAAGCAGTCTTTGTAGAAATCAGAACTGGAAAACCAAGATGTGCGCACGTAAAGGCAAGAATACTGTGTATATTAATATATATATATGATACAGTAACTACATTTAAATATACGGATTTTTAAATATACGAGTAGGTATTTTAGACTACCTCCGGGAAGGTATTCCTTGGCCCGCCCAGCCATTTAAACATACGGAATCCAATTCATTTAAACATACTGCAACTACATTTAAATATACGAACTGGTATTTCATACTACCTCCGGGGCCTTGCCGTCTGACCCGCCATCGGATGGGGTTCATGTGAGACCAGGTACTGGTTGGTTAGTAAATATTTCTATGTTCGATTACATTTTATAATGATCTCCAATTCAACAATTAGTAAACTGTCATATATTTACTCATCAAGAGAGAGGTATTTGGAATGGCTCATGTGTGCTATAGGGATGATAGTCCGCATTATATCTATATACCGGTTGATGTCTATATACCCATTTATTAACCAGTTCCAATTCATGTGTATACATATATATATATGTATACACCCATTCTACACCCATTATACACCTATGGCACCTATTACATACCCATTTTGCTTGCTACATGGCCCCGAATATATACCCCAATAAGCACAACATGGCGTTGCCGCAAGGCCTGTACCAATTCGGTCACATGCAGAGTGCCGCTGCCATCGGCATCGATGGCCTGCCGCATAGACAGCAAAGACCCTCCAGGTAGATAGAAAAGTAGGGAAATATATACGTATATCATATTATATATATATGTATATAAATATATGTGTATATAAATGTATATATATATATGTATATATATGTATATGTATATATATATATGATTATATATGTGTATATAATATATATATATATGTATATACATATATACATATATACATATATACATATATATACATATACATACATATATATATATACATATGCAGACATATACATACATATACATACATATACATACATATACATACATATACATACATATGCATACATACATATATATATGCATACATACATATATATATTGAATATATATATATATATATGTATACAAATATATATATATATATATATATACATGATCATATATATACATATATGTATATATGACATGTGTATATATATATATGGAGGTTTCCTAAAATATGGGTAAACAAAAACAATTAGCTTTCCTATTGACAATATGGCACTGAAATACCATTTTGAGAAGTAAATGGATCCTCATATTGCATATGGAAGTTTCCTAAAATGGGGGGATCTCCAAAAATGGATGGTTTATAATGGGACTTCTATCCATGGTCATGTCGGTACTCGGAGGATCTAAGTATGTACATTCATGTTCTAAGTAGTTTATGTCGTACATTACATCATATTATATCTATAATAATGCTATCATATCCTAATATCCATAACAATATGGATAACATGTATGAAAAGGAATATATTATGGTATAGTACGTATTAAGCATATCATGTAGATGTTCTATATGATGAAACGGTTATTATCCATGCGATGAACATTATAGTTGAAAAGATAGTTCATTCATATGTATCAGTATATCATGTATTTTATATATTCAAATAATGGTAGAACAAAACATAGATAACATTCACAATGTATACGTGTATGTATATATATATTTATTTACATTGATAGTATTATTGTTGTATTCATTGTTATCATGTTTCAATAAGTACTATCATTTTTTGTTCATGGTGTATATAATATATAATATAATAAGGTTATCGTAATTCATGTTCGTTCTTATTGCTATTTTACAATTTTCTATAATATTTTACATCAATATATGTTATGTAGCCAGGGACCTACTTCAGTGGCAACCGCATAAACGGAGGCTCATTGCCATTGCTCCAATAACATTCCCAGAATGGCAATGGCACTAAAACACCATTTTGAGAAGTAAACGGATCCCCATATGGCACCATTTTGGAGGTTTCCATACCAATGGGGGTACCCCAAACCCACGGCTTTCATTTTCATTTTTTCTACCAAAATGATCCAAAATGACTTGGATGACTTGGGGTACACATATTTTTGACTATTTTCGGAAAACCCCATATGTGGAATGTCCATAAAGCTGACAACTATACAACTTTTGAATCTCTAAAACACTGAAAAGTGGAGAGCACTTTGCCATACCTGCGAGTACGCCAGTTGGCACACCAAGCACGCATCATATGACACTACCATCGCTACTCACGTGTGTTCAGCTGCACAAAACGTATTTGTTCGTGTTCAAAGTTGTATTGGCTCTGAATCAATCATCAAATTCCCCAGCTGAAGTGGTGAAAACACCTTCAAGTGCGCCATGGTTATCTGTTGATTCTTCAGGATTCGGCGATCTGTTGAATCCACTAGAAAAGATCCCTCCAACTTTCCCTCACGTTTCTTGGTACCAAAAAAAAGATTAAATTATTTTGCTTCGAGTGATCCCCACCATGACATTTCAAAACAGCTTGTTGACACCACTTTTGTCTGAAGCTTTTGTCACGGGACTTTTGCCCAACTAACTATCCCAATCATTTGTTTCACCTGGCAGGTCATTGTGCATGTCAGTCTGTCAAACAGGATATAAACATGTCAGTGGGCCATATGAAGTAAACTCCAGAGCTCTCAACAGGTTTGCTTAAACATGACCAAACAGGCCAGTGGACCACCTGAGCCAAACAAACAAACATGCCCAAACATGTCAGCACACCGCCTGTCAAACATGTTTGTAAAAACATGACTGAAACAAGCCAGTGGACCACCTGAACCAAAGTCAAAAGCTCGCAGGCTCGTGTGTAAACTAGACAAAACCATGCCAGTGTTACTTCACCAGATCGCTGCAGCTGCAACTCTCTATTCCTCCACCAGACCTCTTCAATCAAAACCGATTAGGTCCCACAGGTAGAGCAACGTGTCAGGCCTATGCCTCCCCCGGACCTCTTCAGTCAAAACCGATTAGGTCCCACTGGCAGAGCACTGTGTCAGGATGCTTGCAATGCATCATAGACAGGCCAGGACTGCAGCCGCTCCAGCGTCGAAGCAGCTTTGGTTTCCAACTTGTCAGTCAGTTCTCGCAAGTAGGTAGGAGGGCCTCTGCGTAAAAGCTCCTCCACTTGCTCCGTGAACCCCAGCAAGATGAGATTCTTCAGTTTGCGGGCACGCGTCAGCATGACATAGATGGCTAGCCACCAGTCGGCATCCTCTAGGCCACCACCACGACGCAAATTAACCAGCACACCTCCGTCCAAAGTCAAGCCTTGCGCGCGTAAGTAGTGCGCAGCATGCCATGCAAAAGAGGAAACTGCCAGCGAATCACTTCAATTTTCTCGGTTTCCTCGCCTAGCTTCAAATCAATTTTGAACTCTGCGTGCACCAATTCCACAAAGAACAATGTCTTTGCGTCAGTTGTGTGATCGGCCACATTCTGAAACTTTTCTTCCCACGTCTGCAACAGAGCATCTTCCATGGGCGAATTCTTTCCTTTAAGTAATTTCACCCAGATACCTTTGGCCATGTAGTCCGGAAAAAAATGACAGAATCCAGGTTCCCGACGGTCCAGGCGCTTCTGATCTTCATGGTGCAAATCCACTTTCACTACCACTGCCAGTTTGTCTTTAACCAATCCAAGGTTTGGAGCCAAGACATCCGCCAGTCGCACAACCATGTTCTCGTGCACCAGTGCATGCCTTGCAATTTGCCAGTGCGATGCGGGTTTGGAACAGTGAGCAGCTGATGTGTCAGCTGCTTGTCTATGGCTTTATTTTTTCTGGAATGCCTTTGGTCAGCTGATGTGTCAGCCTTGTCTATGTCTTTTGTCATGTACCTGGCAAAGCGACAGACGCAATCATTTGTGAACAACCCGCCAATCAAACTGTATTCAGCATACCCAAATCTTGTGAAGTTGAATCGACAAAGAACTTGCAAACCAAATTCTTTGTTTCAAACAAAGTATGTTTCAGCCAAACCAAATTCCACATGACTTCTTAGTGTCCATTCCTCGAAACATATCCGATTCACCTAGGCAAATTCACTGTGTCATCCCAACTCGTGACACCAAATGGCCATGATCTCTTTGCCATGGCTCCTTTGGCGTTGAAGCGTTTGTTTTTCACGCACATCAGCAATCTGGTTGGATCTTCGCACTGGCAGCATGCACCCAGACGACATATCGAAAACACATGTTGAGTCCCTTGGGTACTGGCTGCAGCTGCAAAAGACACAGCTGTAAACATTTCCTCCTGAGCCACAGGTTCACATTTGAAGCCCAAAGGCTGTACCAGCTCAAGGCGCGACCTTCGTCATCCAAACCCAAATGTCATAATTTTCGCTCGCTAATTCCCCAGAGGTCCGATCACAAAAGTGTCTGTCAACATCTATCGTGCGCAAATGCTGCAGCAGTGTCGAGAGCCCTTGTTTCAGGCTATGCACGATCTCACCAACTGACATGACTGACAGCAACTTCTGCCACGCACCTGTTACAGTCTGAAGGCGTGTGGCCTTGTCAATGTCCAATAAGTAACCAACCTCCAAAGCTTTCACCAAGAGCACTGAATCAGAAGCAAACTCATACACATCCAACCCCAAATCTTGATTTTGATGTTGCTTCGCCTGTTGGTGCCTCTTTGCGCAGGTCAACTTCGGTGGAAGAACTCCACGCTGTAAGCTGCGTGAGTCAAAGGCAATCTCCTCATGCTCCTTCATCATTGTTTCGCTCAAAATTTCCAGAAGTAACTCCAGTTGACGATGCGAAAGCAAACACTTGCGATACTGCGGATCTTTGTTCAAACAATTTTGTTGTGTTTTGATTCTTGTTTCTATCAGCCAAGACGACTTTTCAACAGTGTAGAAATTGCCAAGGTCCCTGTGGATCATTCTGCGCTGCTGCGCTGCCAGCTCCATCAGGTTCAGCGACTTGAACTGAACTCGGTCAACTCGACAACGCGAAAATGCTTCAACGGCTTCTGATGCCGCCAGAAGCCGGGCCCTCAAATTTTTCACATTTTCATCAATCTTCGCCAACATCTCAGCATGCACCTGTGTGGCTGCGACCAATGGAGTGCCGGTAATGGCCAACGTAAAAAGATCATTCTGTCGCACACATGCTTCAATACAATCCAGTAGACTCTTAATTGTCTCATCCGAGCGCTCCAGCAGCAACTCTTCACCCGAACGAGATGTTTTCACTGTGCTGACAGAGGGCGTTGGCTCTTCTTCCACACCTCGCTTCTTAATGCCAGTGAAAAGAAGCGACTGCTTTGGATCCACCACGCTTGCAGCAGGCACCCGGACAGCCCCGGTCACAACCGGTTGACTCCCTTGGGTACTTGCCGCAGCTCCAGCAGAAACACTCACAGTACTTGCTGCGGCTCCAGCAGACACACTTGGCGACTCTTCCTCAAACCAAGGGTCTTCGCCAGGTGCCAAAGGGCTTGAAGACGTCTGGACAGCTCCAGTCGAAACCGGTTGAGTCCCATGACCTTCCTGCCCCCGCACCGGACATCCAGCCCAATGTGTGCTGTGCCAGCGGAGCGTGCAATTCATACGGACATGCTTGGCTTCTGGCGCAGCACCTTCATGCAAAGCAATTTCCTGCTGCAGCCCAACTTTCTCCCACTCTTGCATTGTAGTGAACATAGGAAGCAACTTCAAATCTTTCCAAGTGGAGCGCGCCGGCACACCATGGCAAAACTCTGCTTGGAAGTCTCCTGCCATCACCAAAGCGTCACCGCCTTCTCGGAACAACATCCTTGTCACTGGACCTTTTTTGGGGCCCAAGGTCAACACACCCCCATGCCCAAAGGAAAAGGACGTGATCGGATCAACATTGCTGTAGGTGGCAGACTCATCTGAATGAGGGCTGATTCCATGATTTTTGTTGTGATCATTCCAGTTCCACAACACCTGCCACGACTTGTCAAGCCAAGTGGGACGCAGGTCTCGATTCTGAAAAGCTTCATAGTTCTTCATCAATGTGGCGTCCCATAATTTCTCAAATCTGCTTCCAGCTTTCCACATGGCCGATGAAGTTGGCACGTGTTTCTGGTGAGCGTCAGCTCCAAAGATGGAGCGACACAGACACGGAGCACGCGTCACCTGCGCACTCCAGTAGTACATAGTCCATCCGTTAGCTTTCAGCATCTGCTGGGATTTCGTTGGACGAGCATTGTTGTTGCGAACATTTTCTTCCCACTGTTGAATCTCTTCCAGCTGTGGCGCAATGAAATCTCCAATCTCGAAGAAGGTCCTTCCCTCAGCACAAGCGCCTTTGGCGAATAGCAAGAAGGATTTGTTCGATCTATGCGGCAATCTCTCTGCATAGTTCTCAAAGGCAACGTCTACACCAAACAAAAGTTGCGCAAATTTCACAGTGTCATCCCAACTCGTGACACCAAATGGCCATGATCTTTTTGCCATGGCTCTTGAAACACCAGACCTTCCCGGTCAAAACCAGTTCAGTCCCAATGTGTTCAAACTTCCCAAGTGCAAAAAAACAGTGTCCGTCTTGCAGTGTCAAGCTACACCTAAATATCTATATAGTATGTAACCTCTCCAATCTTTCTCAATGAAACATTTCGAAGAGATACACCTACTACATTTATATTCTCAAGCGTTTCATGTCCCTATCCTTTGAGCACTATTATCTTATTCACGTTTCTGCTTGTGCTTGAGCTCGCGTCGGCTGTTGCGCAGGGTGTCAAAGCACAAGCTGCTTTCCAAATCATTTATCCAACACTTTTGAAAGCAGCCACTGGCCAATGTGCTTACTTCCACTCAAACTCCTCGCCTGCGCAGCACTCGCAGATTGGTCACCCTCTGCCATCACCTGCCAAGCAAACAAAAAACACGCAAGAAGACACTACTGATCACACAACCTCCTCCTGCTGAATTCTTCTATGATGATGTCCATCCTGCCTCTGGCCCGCGATCGAGTAGATGAGGGCTCAAATGCTCCAACAAATGTTCCGATGTCACATATCCACCATGCCACCATAGCTGTGATACACAACAGAAACCCTGTGTGATGTTGACTGTCTCAAGCATCAATCCAGCATGAGATCACTTCAAGTAATTTGTAGTAACTTGCTGTAAGATGTTGCCTGTCTCAAGCGTCTTTGCAAACAGCTCCAAAGGTACAGAAGTGGAAATGTCTCTGTCCACCCCAGTGACTCTGTCATCTGTTCAAACTGATTGCTTCAAACTTTGCCACCTGCAAAGTAAGAAGTGGCATTGCCCCGGTCACTCTACCACACACGCGCGAGTTTGCAAGTAATATATAACATACTTGTCTGACATTCTTTCTAACTTTCTTCTGACATTCTTTGTCCCATATCTTCCTACATGAGGTCCGGCAGGGAACACTTGGCGTGGATACTCGCGGTTGAGGTCCGGCAGGGAACACTGGGCGTGGATGGTCGTGGTTGAGGTCCGGCAGGGAACACTGGGCGGGGATGGTCGTGGTTGAGGTCCGGCAGGGAACACTGGGCGTGGATGGTCGTGGTTGAGGTCCGACAGAGAACACTGTGCGTCGAGGGTCGCGGTTGAGCAGGAGGAGGAGGAGAGGAGAGGAGGAGAGGAGCAGGCAACTGACATAAAATCTAACAACCCTCACCTGGCAGGTGGGGAAAAACCCTGAAGTCAGAGCAAGATGAAGATCTTTGATCGTGTTCAAACAGGTGAACTTGAACAAAGTCCTGGTGAATTTGGTCATGTTTTACCATTCGCTGCTGAGCCCTTAGCAGGTCAGGGGCTTTCAACTTGGAACAGGCTCGTGGTCTTTGGTCGATTGGATCACAGCCAACTTTCGAAATTTCTGCACCATTCATAGCTTTTACTAAGATATGATGCGGTCTGATGGCTATAATGAAATATAATTGTACGGCATATTGTAGGGAATGACCCCGCCATAAATCCCAGCGGTTTTGAAAAACCGTGAAGGGTCATCGGGTCCACACGGTCCCACCGTGTAGTCATGGCCAGCCCAGCCTCAAAAAGGTTGGCGCGGTCCGGAGGCAAGTCTAATTCGTCCATGAGTCGTTGCACACATCGGTCCTGGCCATGGCAAATGTTCACTTTTGACCAATTTTCATAACATTTAATAACTCATTTAGCATTTAACTTAGGAGGGTTAATAAGCCATTTATTGATCGGATAAGCCTCTTAAGGGGACTTACTAACCAGGGCTACTAACCGCTCCACTGCTGAATGGGGTGATCCTCAAGTACCCAGAGTTTTTTAGAACATGACTTCTGTGGGTCATCCCAAACGACAACCCCCAGAGCCATCCTGAATCACCAGCAGGAAAAGCTCTTTCGTGATTGCCTGATTTTGCAGCCCGTTGCTTCACGATTTGGAACTTTCAGCACCCATTTTTCGAGTCCGAGCAAGTGGCTTGTATGAGCTAAGAATGCTGTGATTAGCCAGTTCCAAATGGAACAATTCAAGTTTTTACATGTCGTTTACACAACTAAGGCATTTCACCATCCATGACTAGTATCACATCATATAACCAGAAAGGTATCCATCAAGTGTCTTCTCTTTGGGCTGCCGGGACACGATTTTAGCATGAATGTCGTTGTCCGTGAAGGGAGCTGCGCCATTGTTGAAGTCCAATTGCGGCATTTTGTCCTCGTTGGAGATGGAATCCGAATACCCGGCCCCAGTGTAGAAAGGAAGCATTTCTGGTATGGGAAAATATAGAGAAATCAAATTGGACGCTACTGTATCTATAATTGTACAATCATCTCATATACCAGTAATTAAATACAAAAAATTGTACAAAAACACACAAAAACGTGTCGTGTGTTGTCGTTTCACTATAGTTCTTGGTCATGTGTAGTCCATGGATGACGTGTAAGTCTTTGTCGAGGCCATAATGGAATTGAATGGATATCATGGGGGGCTCCAACAAACCAGGCTTGATTACTGGAGGCTAACATTATGGGCTGCCCATCTGCAAGTGGATAGCACCCATCTGAAGGTGGGATTATAAGTCATGGGCTTACCATATTGATGCCGCATGTTGTCTCCTTGCGTGGCCTCTTTTTGTTGCACCCTCCAGCAATCGAACCCTTGCGTGATGAAGAAGCCGCCATTTGTAGATGACTTTGAGCCAGCCGGAGTGAATCCTTGAACATCAACTATCATCCAGTTGTATCCAGTTGTCTGGTGTCACAGTTTGCTGTCACAGCTAAAATTTCTGATGCAGTAACCCCGAGATGTTTTCCAGAAGGCGATCTACCCACAAACTGTGACCATTTGAACTCTGGAAAAGTGACACCTACAGGAAACCACTGAAACCACTAGCTGTTTGACATCCCGCCCAACTGGGTTTGACACCGGGCTGTAGCCATAAACATCCCGGCGGAAGGGAAACCGCGCGAGCGTTTTGATTGGTTGTTTCCAGGAGAGTCACAATCACCTGTAATTTACAATATAAAATGCTCTTCCGATCAGTTTGGATAACTGAATTTGGGTTAAAAAAAGTGGATGCAAAATCTATTGATTTTTAACAAATCCAGGTAAACATCATGTGCATCAGACGTGGATGCGCAGATTTTTTTTCACACTCTTCGTCGGCTCAGCGATCCATCAGTGTGGAAGCTGTCTTCGACAGCAAGTTGCCATTATGGCACTCATAACGCCACTGCCAGCAACGCAGGTATAGCATGACATCTTTGTTCTGCCCTGCCTTTGTCTGCAAATTGCTAGGCACATTTTTTTTTGCCAAATTCCACAGAGAGTCAATCTTCCCTGTGTGCACTTTCAGTACACCCAGCCTGCCACGACGCACACGTTTCACCCACACGCCTTTGCTGTGATTGCAAGAGTAGTGCTGGAAGTGATGCTTTTTGCACCAGGGAGCCTAAGTGTCCGAACTTCGTGGGGCAGGAAGTCCTTTTTTTCCCTGCAGCGTAGCAACATGTAACGCAGGAAACTATCTCAGAGATCTCAGCAGCGTAGCAACCTGCAACGTAGTAAGAAAGTCCCAAGGATCTCAGCAGCGTAGCAACATGTAACGTAGGAAACTATCTCAGAGATACCAGCAGCGTAGCAACATGTAACGTAGTAAAAGATCCCAGAGATCTTAGCAACATCGCAATATATCCTGTACGAAGTACAAGGAACGTTAACATGCACCCCCACCCCACCCCACCCCCAACCCACACTAACATGGCAATATATCCTGTACGAAGTACGAGGAACGTTAACATGCCCCCCACCCCACCCCACCCCAACCCCAACCCACACTAGAGCAGCGTAGCAACACGTAACGTAGTAAAAGATCGCAGAGATCTTAGCAACATGGCAATATATCATGTACGAAGTACAAGGAACGTTAACATGCCCCCCCACCCCACCCCACCCCAACCCCAAGACAAAGAGCAATACTCAAAAAAGAAGCAAAACGCACGTACGGTTTTCCTGCCGTAGGCATAAACATGGCACCTACGAGTATACAAATGAAACATCAACCTTTCAACCAGAAATCTATGGGAATATTATGAGATATTAAGGGAAATCTATGGGAATATCATGGTGATGTTTTCCCCAAGATGTTCAGACCTACCCACGTCCCGCGTTGGAGTTTCGATGTTGTCCATGTCTTGGTAGAGGCGATATGCTGCAGCAAACTTTTTCAACAGCTCGCCTCAGAACGTCGTTGCTACATGGCTGGAAATATCTAGCTGCATTTCAACACCAAACATGTACCCCATAGGATCCATGGTGCTGGTATATATGCTAACATTGGGGGTATATTGATGGTAAATGTTACCATATATAGCATACATGGATCCTATGGGTACCACGAATGTAACAACATGTGCCACAAATTCGACATCATGTAGCTAAATGATGTGAACTCTACCATAAATTCAACATAGTATCATGTAAAATGATGCAAAACATACACCAATCCAATTCAACATATGTTATCGTTTATTAAATCGTAGTGATACACCAGTGTGACAGTGACTTTCAACAGTATTCTCATGGACAACCGAAACACCAACTGGCTGAGAGCTTGATGGAACTCGGCGCATGGGTTGGGTTCTGCCATCGCCCAGAAAAGGTACTTAGGCTAGCCAGTTTCATATGCACGTATCAAATTATATCACACATATTGTATATCTATTATAACATGTAGTAGAACATGTATATATATAACACACATACATAACACCGTATATAGAGATCTGACATCCACATAGCGGCATACCATTCGACGCGTTGGCACGGATCCTCCCCAGCTGGTTTGCCAGCTGGACGACTGCGGGCCCTGTGTGGTGGCTTCCAAGTTGGTGAAATCCACAAAAAGATATACCAATTTTTGACATCTATATATTATATATGTCCACACATACTATATATATCGGATAATATCACATAAGCTATCATATTACAAAATTAATATACTAAAAAACATATATATATATATACATAATGATAAACTTATCATAGTATAGCCAATCACACAAAACTCTCATATATATAGATAATATGGACATAAAAACTATCATATGTCTATCACATAAACTATCATATAGCCATCCAGAACAATCAATAAACTTCATATAAACTATCACATTGCATATTCACCCGATGTTTTTTGTCCCATTCTGGGTCCCAGCATCCCTCCAAGGCTTAGCCCTTCGCCCAGGGGCCCGGATCTTTGAAACACCGATAAGGCTACATTTTGAAACAAGAGGATAAGGATCATTCGACATACAAAAGCCACGGATATGGTCATTTTGAGACACATCAAAGATATGCTGTTTAAGACATCTGGAGCATAGCCTTTTTGTAACCACCATGGCGCTTGTAACCCCAACAGCACATGATGAAACCCCTAGCAAATCAGCTCTTCAAAACAAAAACAATCAAAAAAACAGTTAGTGACAGGAGATCAATCCCTATCTCAATGCAAATGTGACCGCAAGGCTTGAGGCTTTTTCCCGTCAGCATTATTTGTGGCAGTTTGTCGGCAATTCATGAGGATCTCGTCGAGGAACGTATCCAAAAAATAATAAAAATGCATTCAAAAAAAATATCAGCACGCATCAAAAAATCTATGCATCAAAAAAAATATCCAGGGTGCCACTGTGGAGACATCAAGGGTTTCGTGCTGAAACCTAGATCAAAAAAAATCCGTATCCAAAAAAATATAATAGTAGTAGTAGGAGTAGTAGTAGTAGTAGTAGCAGTAGTAGTAGGAATAGTAGTAGTAGTTAGCAGTAGTAAGCCAGCACTAGCCCGCCGTAGCAGCAGCAGCAGCAGTAGTAGTCGTCTTAGGCGGGTGGTGGGGGCAGGGGGGAGGGCGCAGCGCCTCACCCAGACCCACCCCCACACACCCAATGCGTACCAAGAGGAAGCACAGAGGACACAAGTCTCAAATGGATATATTGCAAGTAAGAACGACAAGATCAAGAAAGGAAGCCAATAGGGCACAAGTCTCGATGGCTTGTTTGAAGAAGAAGAAAGAAGAAAAATGAAACCAAGAAAGATGCTTAGGAGCAAAAGGCAAGAGAGTAGGTAGCAAGGAAGCTGATGAAGAAACAAAAAGCGGTGGGGGTCCCTTGCCTGCGTACCAAGAAGAACGGAAAGAAAGTACATAGGGCACAAGTCGCGATGAGAGCAATGAAGATGAAATGAAACGAACATACCGAAAGAAGTGGGGACGCACACATGGTCCTTCATGACTTCCTCCTTCCCTCCCTCCTTCCTTCCTTCCTTCCCTCCTTCCCTCCTTCCTTCCTTCCCTCTTCCCTGCCTGCACTACAGGACCGCAGGACCGCCTGACGCGGAACAGAAGGGTGACCGCCGGACAGCGGGCAAGCCTTACGTCTGAACGTCAGTGCTTACCCTCCGTGCATGCTTCCTTCCTTCCTTCCCTCCTTCCCTCCTTTCCTCCTTCCCTCCTTCCCTCCTTCCTTCCTTCCTTCCCTCCTTCCCTCCTTCCTTCCTTCCCTCCTTTCCTCCTTCCCTCCTTTCCTCCTCCCCCCTTTCTTCATGGTCATTTATTTTTTTTTGATACATTTATAGTTTTTTTTGATGCATCTTTATTTTTTTTGATGCATTTTTATTTTTTTTGATGCTTCTCCCGATCGTTCCCAAAGAGGACCAAAACCCCTTTTCACCACGCCATTTGGTGGAAGATACCACTGTGACCGTGAATGTCATGGTCTTAGACATGCCAAGGAAGTTTGTCTGACGCCACGATGTCACAGATGTGGCCCACAGTCAGACGTTCCCCAACATAGGCTGTATGCGATCTCACATGGATATGCACTTCATGTTGATTATCAGCATTGTCGTGATGCGGGATCCAATGGTCCACTTCGGGCCTTCAATCCATGTGCGATTTGCTGCACTGCAGATGATAGACTTGTTATGACTTGTTTAGAGGGCTTGGGCTGAATATGTGGTCAGTGGAACTGATCACATAGGGGGAGTGCGTGTAAGAATTCCATGCATCCCTATTTACCAAATTCTCAAATGGAAATACTTCCACTTTTGCTTTGACTTCAACCCACCGGGTGTTGTCCAGACTTCAACTCACCGGGTGTTGTCTAGGAATCCTAAAGAACCTGCATCTGGGCCGGACCGAAGCCTTTTAGATGTCAAGCGGCACAAAGGTGCGTCAGCTAGCAGCGAGGTGGCTGCTTGGAGTTTTGGGGAAACTTGGTTTTGTTTTTTGGGTTGAAACATTTCTTTTTTCCGGTTGGGGTCGGGATCTCAGTTGCTGTTCAGGGTTCCAGGACGGTTCACTTGTTGGCATTGGGAGGCTTCAGGAAACACAGAAACCATGGAAACCGTGCAAACTATGAAAACCGTACAGAAATCTTGGACAACAGGGAAACCATGGAAACCAGGGAAACCGCAAGAAGAAATCATGGAAACCATGGAAACCATGGAAACCGCAGACAAATCATGGAAACCATGGAAACCATGGAAACCGCAGACAAATCATGGAAACCATGGAAACCATGGAAACCGCAAAGAGATCATGGAAACCATGGAAACCGCAGACAAATCATGGAAACCATGGAAAACCATGGAAACCGCCAAGAAATCATGGAAACCATGGAAACCGCACAGACATCATGGAAACCATGGAAACCATGGAAACCGCAAGAAGAAATCATGAAAACCATGGAAACCGCAGACAAATCATGGAAACCATGGAAACCATGGAAACCGCAAAGAAATCATGGAAACCATGGAAACCATGGAAACCGCAAAGAGATCATGGAAACCACAAAAACCATGGAAACCGCAAAGAAAGTATGGAAACCATGGAAACCGAAACCATGGAAACCACACAGATATCATGGAAACCATGGCACAGAGTGTGTCGCGTTTCAAAATGAGTAATAAAGTCGCGTTTCAAATTGAGTATTATCCCGCGTTCTAAAACGAAACCTTCCCTTCGCCCAGCAACGAGTGGTACGGGCAATCCGAATAGACTCACGTGCATGTTGCTCGGCCGTCATGGCATCGTTCTCCTGCGCAGAACCGTTTTGGAAAATTTGACTGTCATGAACATTTACGAATATCACATATTGTAAAAATATTTTATATTGGTTCAACAGTTTTGTGAATATATTGTCTGTAAGAAATCATGAATATCCAGACCAAGTTGGAAGAACAAGTTGAAGTTCTATCATGTTCTATCATGTATTTGTTTATAAGACACCATCTTAGCTTGGACTTTCAGGGACTTGACTTTTGGAGGAAAGAATTGTTCCAAATCTCTTTCAACTGTCATGTGACCAACAAGGGCATGATGAAATGGAGAAAATCATGAACAAATGATGGGGAATCATGATAAATTCCGTAGATATCAGCAACAAATGGAGATGTTGAGCAAGGCACAACAATGGGGATGATACTTTCGATTCGATCTGCGAGCTGTCGCGCTCAGTTCTTGGGTAATGTGGGAGGGTCAGTCAAGTGACCACCTTCATTTTTCCCAGTCCTAGTCCTAGTCGATTCGAATCATTTACCAACTACAGTATTAACCTGGTTTCATCATGTGGGGTTAGTTACTTCATGAACCCAACAATAACCTTTGTATCGTCACTGCTTCTATCAGATTCAGCGCTTTTGGCACCTTGGCAGCTTTCATTGTGATGTCAACATAAACCTCGGTGACGAGTGACGTGGAGTTGAAATGTTTCACCTCGTCGGATGAACAAAACCCCAGCCGCGCTGAAACCAACAAAAGAAGCGCCCACTGTTGTTGTTGTTTTTTTGTACAGTGAACATCCTGAACTGAATGGTGGGGATATATATATAGAGGTTTCTTAAAATAGAGATATTACCGAATCAAACATGTGAAAAGGATTTTCCATCATAAACCATTCACTTTGGGGTATCCCAGCACAAAAAAACACCGTTACAGCCAAAGCTGCAGCCAAGATCACGTTGAAAATACCTGCGACCGATGCAGCACAAAGCGATGGCGGCGAAGAAGATCTTGAAACTTTCGTCGGCTATCTGTCTACACAACGACAATGATAGGTTCATTATGTGAAACTTATTGAAACCAGCGGCAACAACAACACCAGCAGCAACAACAGCAACAAAAAGAAAAGTAGCAACAACAACAACAACAACAACAGCAGCAGCAGCAGCAACATCAACAGCAATAGCATCAGTAACAGCAACAGCAGCAACAATAAGTAACAAGTAATATCATGTCATGTAACAATAGGTGACAGTGTGCAACAATATACAACAATATTTAACCATGCAATAATATGTAAGAAATATGTAACAATGATACATGGCTGCCTGGCTCATATTCTCAGCATAGTCGGAGTGAAAATGGCAAACGCATGAAATTGCCTACGTCCTTGGCTAAACTCAGAATCTAATTTTGTTTGGCTGTGTCTAAATCTGGGATTACCCCAACATGACATTTTCGGTATGGCTGGGCTGATCTTTTTGGTTGGCATCGCCCCACTGGAGTCATTGGTCAGTAACAAGGCTCTTATGTACCTTTCAACAGGATTAAAACAAAACAATACACAGAAAGAACGAAAAGCCTGGCATGAGTTTGGAGCCCTTGATCCATGCCAAGATACCCATCGATACCAACATATAGCTCCTAGGCTTTGCAGACCCGGCAACAAAATCGCCTTCGCCATTCGCAGTGCCCCATTCGAGTTGTTGAGGATCACCAACAGCCAGAACTGGATGCACCATGAGTACAGCAACCCCCAAAAAGATATATACAAAAACCTCAAATCCGAATCCAACATGGTGGTAAACTGCCAAACATCATCAACAATCATCAACAATCTATATCTGTGTCTTTTTTTTGGGGCTTCAGCAACCACGGAGCTCTTTCGACAAGTGTGGAACTTCGTGAACAAAATCACTGAACCAAGCTCTGGTGACCAGAGCTAATCCATTCATATCCATCAATAATCAATAATTTAACCTATGGCAGACCTATCATTATTATACACATTATTGTCACTGTTGTTTTTCCTCTTAAATTATCATTATAGTGACTATCCACTGATAAACTGACATAGCTATCGGAAAATGACCATTTGTAGTTGATTTACCTATTAAAAAATGGTGATATTCCACAGCTATGTTAGTTTACCAGAGGGTACTTCATTTACAGAAAAAGGTCAGTTGGTGAGATAGAATCAAGAAAATTTTATAATTTTATATACAGTAAATTTATATAATTACTCAGTTTTGTATCTATTCCTTTTTTTGTTTTAAACGGTTCAGAATTATGACCTACCCATAAATCCCACAAAAACAGCTCCCTTTCACCAGCAGCTTGACGCAAATGCGAGGCACACCACGTAGCACATGACGAAAGGAATACCAAACTCATTGGCGATCAAGGTATGGATAGGCCGCCCTACCCGAGCGGTTGATGTCTTGGATGATTGATGATCTGTGGTCCTCTAGATATCCAGTTCATCCAGCATCCCGTTTGTTGATGGATTGCCTAATGCAGGATCTTCGGCCGCTGTTTTTGTTGCGGGCATTTGGTGATGCTCTACCAAATCCTTTGGAAACACTCGTATTAATCAGTCATAGATGTGATATTCCCATTTATCCACCTTCTTGGTTGACTTCTGGTAATCCAACTTGGCAACGGAAAATGCCTCATTCCTAGGTGTTTTATCGATCATTGCCATGTCAATCATGTTCGAACAATCAGAATTCTTCATGGCTCACTCCCCAAGTGTTCATGGCAAAGAATATGTGATTATCAAAACATATCCAAACCCATCAGCACATACTAAACAAATACTAAACAATGCGAAAATATGGGACATAGTTATATCCCAATACTAACTTAATACTTTTATGAAGTTCATCCACCACACTAACAATACTTTTTTAGTGAAGTTATCCAACATACTTCGCCGCATCCATGGAGAATCCCCCGATTTCTTCCAATCTTCGTCGTCGGCCTGAACGATCAATGCACTCTCCGGAGAAACAGAGGAAGGCCGTGAACATCGCCCTCGGTCGCCGTGTCCGCCATGAAAAATCACAGGTCTCCCAAGGGCAACTGTCGATGGTTTTAGGATTGGTGATTTTCTATAGGATTTACTTTTTTTTTGAAGGGTCAGCTTGGGTCAACTGTAGCTTTACTGTTTTTTAGGATTTACGCTCTGGTAAACTAACATAGCAATGGAAAATCACCATTTTTTATGGGAAAATCCACTATAAATGGCAATTTTCAATAGCTATGTTAAATTACCAGAGGGTACTTTGATTTTCCAATAAAAAACAAACTCTACAACAAATCAAGCTGCTGTGGAATGGTCTCGAAGTGGATCAACAGTCCCAGATCGGAGGTCCGTTGGTCACTACCTGCGAGTCGTGGTGTTGTGGCGCTGTGGATGTCGAAGTGCAGGTAACACTTGTTCAACTCCAAACTACTCCGAAATGGTGCCATTGGGATAGCATACGGATATATATGATATATATATATAGATACGTGTGTGTGTGGGGATATTGTTGGGATATTATTGGATATGTGACCAAAACTCAATGTACGGAAACATCAGCGGGGTGTGATGGGGATATGATGGGATATAGAATCATCATGAACCAAGAAGATGAGATGGGCCTGTCCAAAAACGGAGGATTTACCGCCAAAGTGAATAGCAATTTTAAGAGAACACACATCATGCTGATATAAAGATTTTATTTTCAGACATACCCACGTATCGGTCAGAATTTGACGGATGATGATGAACTGTCAAATCCAAACTACTTTCTGGCAATTTAAGAGTTTAACATCATTTAACATCCATATTTTCCATTGTCATAGATGATCATCAAACTAAATGGACCATTTTCATCCATTTTCCATGTCATTTTCCATTGCAAAAAGTGTGTTTTTATTACCAGAGGGTGTAGTTCTATGTGTAGATGACATCTCCAAAGCCACAAGTCCACCGGATTTGGGCTGGCTGTTGATCCCTGAATAGGCCCTGATCCAGCTGGCGCCATTGGACATGTATAAATTTCTGTGCCAAAGAAAGGGCTTGGAAATCCCCATGGCACATACAAATATGTTGTAAACACTATTGCATATATATATATATATACACAATATACACAATATGTATATATATATATAATGTATATCAATGGGTGATGTTCCATTGCCGTCTTTGACTATCAAGGTGTATGTTGGTCATTGTAATTAATACTTCTTGGATCTTCAAAGAGCACTTTCAAGGTGTATCCGACAAAACCCCGGGAACCTTGGTACCTTGAAATAGCTGTTTTTTGGATACGCGGATTCCCATGGATTCCCCCAAATATGATAATAATAGCTTTTGGCCCATCCCCAGTTTGACAATTCTAATCAAACATTCCATACATCTTGGTGACTAGTAAACTATCCTATGTGTTGTTGCTTTGCTTGCGTATGCATATGCAAATTCATCACCATGTTTGCAGTGTTTGTGGTTTTTTCTTTTTGTTAACTCATCTGCCTGGTAGTCACACATGGTTGAACAGTATGGGTTGGTGTGAAACTACCCGTAACTACCCCAAGAATTGATGCTTGACAAACCTCATTCCCGCGAATAACAATTTTACGGAAAATCTTCCATTTTGAGAAACATACCATATATACCATTATAGTGTGTATATAATATGCAATTTATCACCCTATTAAATCCCACAAAGTCCTGTTTCTGTTGGTTACATCCCTTTTTCAAGTGGCCAATGGTCATGGTGGCGAAGCCGGAGATGACGTAGAGCACAGCAATGAGCAGAACGAAGGACAGACAGAGGGTGCGAAAGCCAGCCACCAATCCTCGGCTTGTCGTTTTCGCCGTGGTAAAGATGATATGTTTGGGGATTCCGTCAGCATATGTTGTGTAATTATCTGATTATATATAGTTGTAATATGTATAATATATATATATATATATACACATATTGTTATAATATGTATATTTATATATATATATGATACATGTACATATACAGTATACATAATATATACATTTATATATATATATACTACTGTATACAGAAGAACATATCACCATGAAGCCTAGTAAAATAAGCCCATACAACCATGAATCAACAGAGGTTTTCTAGGCACTGGCATTGAGATTTTCTCACATAGCTGCCATGGGTCAATTCCTCTTACACCAGCCATCAATGGTTTTTGTTTCCCAGGTTCTAAACAGCTCTTTCAAATTCATCCGATCTCCCTGGGGTGTAAAAATTGGGCACCCAAAACCATTGGTTCCCCATATGTCATAGGAAAAACCATGGGTTTCCGGTTGAGATGTTCCCAACAAAACCAGTAATATCAGTCATCAACGAGTTCGGGGTCCCACTTCTTCTCGGAAACCCTCAACCGAGTTTCCTTTCACCATCAAACGCAGTTCCTTCATGCACCTGAAGACCAGGGCTGAAACTGTGGTGGATAACTCACATGGCTACCCTGGATACATGCGGGTTAATTATTCACCAGTGTAATGAAGCACACATATCTCCAGGGAATAACTGTACCTGGATACACCCCATATTACCAGTCAGTTCAATGAGATAGTAAATTTAGTAAATGAAATGAGGATAAATGATGAAGAATGAGGACAACTCATGAACCATTATCATCATGAACGATGATGATACATGATGACAAGCGATGATAACTGCTGATAAACGCTGATGAATGCTGAGAAAGAACAACTTGGAGGATTTTGATTATCCAATTCCGGTTCTTTATACCAATTTTGGTTATCCAAGATATCCAAGTACCTACTAGATCCTACTAGTAGGTTCTTTGAATATCATTTTGGCTTTCCAATCTTCTTCCTACTGAGATGTATGGTTACCACATATTTGGCAAAACTGCGGGATGACCCACGTAGTACCAGGGTTTTTGGTATGGTTACTAAAATGAAGAGCAGGGTCAACGATGGAATGTTCCTACACCGAATTTTGGTGTTACTTGGCATCGACCCATGTGATGTCTCAAAATCTGGAACCCCCGTGGAAGACAACTCCAAACTGCTTAGCAGCCCCAAAGGGATCGACATGTGTCACCAGGCCAGCCATTTTCGGATGCTTTCGGGTATCTGTATTTCCCACCCACTTTGAGACAATCATATATCGAGAATGTCAACCCCAGATCAATCAATCCCAACTATTCATTGCGGTCGTTACTCGTTACCCCCCAAAAAAAACTGATAAATCAAACACTTACCAAAAAAGTTGTTCCATAGCAGGTGTATATATATATATATACTGGTTGGTGGTTTCAATCCCTCTGAAAAATATGAGTTCGTCACTTGGGATGATGAAATTCCCAATATGATGGGAAAGTCATAATCCAGCCATGTTCCAAACCAGCAACCACTTAACCACTTACAGTATAGTATAACCCCAGAAAAAACACCATATAATTATCTCAATAACCAACCAGAAATTCATGGTACCATAGAATTAATAGATAGATAAACCATAGATAAACCATAGATTAACCATAGATAAACCATAGATAAACCATAGATTAACCATAGATTAACCATAGATACAGCATATCCCAGTGATATACCCATTGCTACCCTACCAACAACTCTCCCCCAGAGCCCCGGAGCCTCAGTCGGAAGACTTTCACCACCCGAACCAGGCGAATCAGGCGACAGAAGCGTAGCAAGGACACGCCGAACATGTCGGATTCCTGGCGAGAAAAAACGGTAGAACCATGGTATACCAACCTCCATAAGTTGGGATATATGATATATATATATATAACTTATAATTATATGGAACTACGGTTCTATATCCAATTGTAATAGATCCCACTTGGGAGGTTCTACATCCACTTAAAATTGGAACACCAAGGTTCTCGTGGCGTGACACTTCCAGTGTTTTGGTGGATCTAATTTTGACCAACGCTGGTACCCTCTGGTAATTTAACATAACTATTGAAAATTGCCCATAGAAATACTTGATTTACCTATAAACAAATGGTGATTTTCCATAGCTATCTGCGTTTACCAGAGGGTCAACAATTCTGCAGCTGACGACTCAAATCACCAACAAGCCGCTCCAGTTGTTCCGTTCAAAATGCCCCTGCCGTGACTTTTCTTTGTGGGCTTCTCAGCTTAGTGCTTCCTGGTCCTGGACTTGTCTCTTTTCATTTTTTTTCAAGGTAAATTGACCAAGACTCCTTCTATTCGGGCCGAAGGGGTGCATTTCCTCAAAAGAAACAATGCAAATCATGCCCTCAATAGGAGATACAAGGTGGCCCCCCAATTATGTTTGTTGGTTTGTAAACCTCATTGGCTATAGATTGTAGTATATCTGACATAAACCGTAGTTCTGTTACTGTCCAAAACTGCACAGGTCTGATATGTTCAAATAAAAGCGGACCCGTGATCCTTGCCTCACTGAGGTGAGAAATGAGCAGGTCAGCTAATCCGGTGAGGGATAAAAAGAAGTCAAACCTTAGTTTACACGGAGGTCTTTCAAAAAGAATGGAGGTCTTTCACTTTGTGATAAAATTTCAAGCATCAAATGTCTGGACATTTGAAGAGATTGGGAAAATCTGCAAGCCAAAGATGAGGCTTTTAGGTTCAAGATCTGTGTGCAGCAGGACCTAGGATGATGTCCAGGATCCAAAGTGAAACAGAAACCCAAAATAACCTTTAGGTAATGCGACCTCTCAAAGAACATCGTTGGCACTCTATCGGCGAATTATCACAGTAACCAGTCGCACAGCATCAGAAAATAAATACGAATGGTTCCTGACAAGAGTGGACAACTGTTTGTTAATCACTTTGCTGTTTTTTCTTATTCTTTGGGTACCATGCCTTCATATTTCAGCATGGTCCACTACCTCAGTCACACTTGCGTGGGCAACGTGCGAGGCTTCCTGACGATTTGATAGAAAGAAACAACACGTGCTTGACTGATAATCATCTGAAATAGGGGATATGGTCCTCATTCAATGCTGGTTGGTGGCTTTAACCATCTTGAAAAATGATGGAGTTCATCAATGGGAAGGATGACATCCCATATATGAAATGGAAAGTCATAAAAGCATATAAAAGCCATGTTCCAAACCAGCAACCACATAGTATAACCCCAGAAAAAAACCATATAATTATCCCAATCACCAACCAGGCCATGGAGCTCATTTTCCTCATGGAAATTGGCCAACTGAACACCATGACCTCAACGAACCAAAAAAACCCTGCATCTCCCGCACCAAGGAACCAGTTGAAGATTCGGTCGTTGCCACAGAAGAACAGGCGTAAACCTGCGGGCATTGTTGGATTTTTGTGGAAGGTACAGTGACTCCCAATGCAACAACGATGATCTGGATCAACACACTTCAAAGTTGATGTTTGTTACCCCTTTTTTCGGTTTTTTCTTTGTCCTTCTTTCGAAAAAACATTTCGGATGTTTCGGGATGCATAACAAATGTTACCCCTGAGACTCGGATTGGGACCCCCGAATTTGATGGTGGATCATTGGTAATCCCCTCTCACGTTAAGGTCAACGGCCATGTAGCCAGTGGGCTCCCAGAACGACTGCGGTCAATCCAATACAATCAAACAATAAACCACAGAAGACGACGTTACAAGTTGTTGACTTATTGAAACAAACCCTGTGATGTCCATGGAAATTACTTACTAACTATTAACCATATGAATGATCGGATATTATCACCCTTACCATGATTGACTATTATCATGGATACCGGATACCTGTTCAGCATATTGATACGCAAAAAAAATCTCATGTCAACTATTGGAATCAATTGGATAACCACAATCGCTAATCTTATTGGCCATTGTCATTAATAACATGTATGGAACCATTATTTATGGCAATCATTTATGAACCATTGTTATTTATTGGATGGCAATTATTTATGAACCATTATTGGCAATGATTGTCATCATCATTCACCATTCACCATTCGAACGTTGCCCCTGTCCTAGGAGGCGAATGCGAAGCACGTTCTCGAGGACCAAAGCAATGACAAACATCACCTCCAACCAGGGCCATCCTTGGGCCGTTCAGCCGTGTAGCCCCCTAAAAGAGCATGGCAGGGTCTATGTTAGTGGAGATTTGGTGTCTTGTTTATTTTTTTCTATGTGAATTAGTGGAGATGTGGTGTCGTTTTGTTGAGATATGTAGCTTGTCACTGACTTCATGTTGAACATGTAAAGTTGGTGACAAAAACTTGGCTACGCAGATTGAGGCAGATCCACTCCATACCATTCACTTCCCAAGTTGTTCGGGTCCGCCAAGTAGCATTCTGAGCGGCTGCCAGCTAGCAGAGCTTGGCAGTTTAAAGATGTAAAGGCCAACTATAAATGGCGGCGACTCACCAAGCAAAAGGGAAATAGCTGAACAACCAACACCGACCAACGCCGCTATGCAACCTCAAGATTTTCATCTCGAACATGGTCAGTTTGGTTCCCCGAGCCAGAAGTTTTGACTGCCCTTCCTTCAACAGAAACGCAGAGCCCCTACAGCCCCGCCCTCAGTTATACTGTAAGTTGATTCTTACCCCAGCCAATAGGTATCATGGTATATTCCCAGATCTAAATCCCAGTCATCCCATGCCTCAACAGAAACCTGGTTTAAGCTATCGCACCTTACATGGGGGCTGATATTCTCAGTCAATGGATTGGATAAGGGGAAAGTCTACAGGAATGCATGGTTTTTACCCCCATTTT